AGCCAATGAAAAAACCTCAAAACATATAAACAACAATAAATCATTTTAAGCAAAAAGAAAAAAAATATATATATATATTACATTGTAAGTTGTACTTCCAAGTTCGTTCCCTTGATAATTGTACATCTGATTATAAATGTACTTCCAAGTTCGGTCCCTTGATATTACATTGTAAATTGTACATCTGATTATTCTAATTCTTCAAATTTGAGTCGGTCAAATGTCGAAGTTTAAGGTTCACACCTAATTAGGTGAATGCTTCTAATTTAAAATGTATATTATGATGAAGCTTTAAACATTATTCAACATTACTAACATTTGCATTGACATATTCCATAGCATATCATAGGACTACTTCTGACAACAGTTTAATCACCCAAAACCCCCGCAATAGAAGCGGGGGAAAAGCCCCCAACAGATAAGTACGCTCTGCTGAAACAATTAGACTGCTTAGGTGAACTAGTCCACCTATCTAGCAGAGCAGCAGAGTACACCAGGTCTTCATTGCCTCATCAATTTGTCAATCCTGTTACATAGTAATAACTTTGTTTTCCATCATTCTTCTGTGTACAGAAACAAAGTCACAAACAAATAAGTTCATCATAGTAAATCCACAACCAAATACACAGTTGTGTCTACGTGCCCAGATGTTAGAAATTATCATGTCCAAAATCCTAGCCTGTTGCCCAAAATCACATGTAATAACCATGCCTAATGATGATTGCCAAACACAAGTTCATTCCAAATCATATATTCCAACTTGTCAAAGCCAACAAAATATCTAAAAGAAGAAAGAATGCACCAGAAATACAAGAATATTGTTGACACCAAACCAGGATAGAAAATGAGGAAACATGTTGGAAAGCACAACTCACCAGGTTTTCCTCCATTTAAAACTACGTTTTCAACTGGTTCTACACCATATCGCTGTATATGAATAAAGAAGGGCACCAGCAGCAATACAAGAAAAAGAACACAGATTGACGAGAGAGAGAGGAGTTCATTAAACTTTACTTTTCCAATAAAATAAGAGAATGAAAAAGATTAACCTTAATCTCAGGGTTTTGCTCTTTAAGGTACCTCCCAACACTTGTAATTGTACCACTTGTGCCTATCCTAGAAACAAAGGCATCAACTTTCCCACCCGAGCCTTTCCAAATCTCTAGTCCAGTGGCCTCTGAAGATTTTAGAGAAGAGAAAGAGTTAGGGAATGAGTGAGACCTCATCCCCTTTTATATTGATAATAATGCGTAATTACAAGAGTGCTATTACGCATAAATTATGGGCCAACTCATTACATCAATCAAGGGAAAATAAAATCAAATAAGAATAAAATATATGCAATATTATTTCCTATTCTAACACTCCCTCTCAAGCTAGTGCGAAGATATTTCTCATGCCCAGCTTGATGAGAATGTCATGAAATTGTTTATTCCCTATTCCTTTGGTAAAAACATCCACCAGTTGATCACCAATCTTCACAAATGGAGTGCATATGATGCCACTAGTGAGTTTTTCCTTGATGAAGTGCCTATCAATCTCCACATGCTTGGTTCTGTCATGCTGAACCAGATTATGAGCTATGTTGATAGCCGCCTTGCTATCACAGTACAGCCTCATGGAATCAGTTTGATGAATCCCCAAGTCTCTCAACAATAATCTAATCCACAACAACTCGCATACACCCTGAGCCATAGCCCTGAATTCTGCCTCGGCACTGGATCTAGTAACCACATTTTGTTTCTTACTATGCCAAGTGACCAGGTTACCTCCAACAAATGTGCGATACCCAAACGTTGATTGTCTATCAGTGACTGATCCAACCCAATCTGCATCAATAAAAGCCTCCACACTAAGATGACCATGTTTTGAGAAATAGAGACCCTTTCCAGGAGAAGATTTCAGGTATCTCAAAATCCTCATAACTGCCTCTAAGTAAGTAGTTTTAGGAGCATGCATAAACTGGCTAATTATACATACTGCAATAGCAATGTCTGGGCGCAAGTGGGATAAGTATATAAGCTTCCCTACTAATCTCTGGTATCTCCCCCTGTCCATTAGCTCTCCCCCTTGATCCTCACTTAGCTTCTGACCAGATTCTAGAGGTGTGTCACATGATCTACTTCTAAGCATTCCAGTCTCCTTTAGCGAGTCAAGTACATACTTCCTCTGGCATATGAAGATACCATCCTTGAACCTAGCTACTTCAATACCCAGAAACTACTTCAAAGTGCCCAAGTCCTTGATTTCAGACTCCTTGGCAAGGTACTCCTTCAACCTCAGAATTTCTTCAACATCATCCCTTGTCAGAACAATATTATCAACATAAACAATTAAGGCTGTAGTCTTACGAAGTGATGAGTGTTTGACAAATAAGGTATGATCAGCCTAACTCTGCTTGAACCCATATTTCAACATAGCTTGAGCAAACCTTTCAAATCAAATCTTAAGAGATTGCTTTAGTCTATAAAGTGACTTCCAGAGCCTGCACACTTTACCCTTGGACCTAGCATCTTCGAGCCTAGGAGAAATATCCATATAGACTTCTTCTAAATCTCCATTAAGGAAGGCATTCTTCACATCAAACTGATGAAGTGGCCAGTCCAAATTTGCTGCAAAGGAGAGCAGTATTTTCATAGAGTTCATCATAGCAACTGGTGCGAATGTATCTTGATAATCTATCCCATAAGTCTGAGTGAAGCCTTAGCAACCAGTCTTGCTTTGTACCATTCTATGGAACCATCTGCTTTGTGTTTTACAGTATACACCCACTTACAACCAACTGGATTTTCGCAACTAGGTAACTCCACTAACTCCCAAGTGCCATTCTTGCTAAGAGCTCTCATTTTCTCCATCATGGCATGTTTCCACTCAGGAATAGAGAAAGCATCCTAGAAATTGTTAGGCAAACTTACAGACAAAATCTTAAAAAGAAAGGCTTTATATGAGGAAGATAGATTGGAATATGAGACATGATTAGAAATAGGATGCTAAGTACATGACCTAACCCCCTTCCTATTAGCAATAGGAACATCAAGATCTGAAAACTCAGGAATAGTAACATTAGGATCAGAATTACCTAGACTCTCAGGAGAGGGAAATGACTCTGGACACTCATCCGGAGTTGGCAATAGAGAATTAAAAGTAGTCTCTTGCATCCAGGTGACTTTCTGTCTATCTTTGCCCCTGGCATAAACTTTTCCTACTTCCTTTTCCACAACAATTGCTAGCTCAACATCCTCTATCTTTTCAACCACTGGTGGTAGTGGAACAGGAATTTCTTCACACCAAGGCTTCCCTTGAAGGGATGACTGTGACACTGGGGAGGTCTGAAAGTAAGACTGAGACTCAAAGAAAGTGACATCCATGGAGACAAACCATTTGCAAGGTGGACGATAATAACACTTATAGCCCTTTTGGGTGGCAGAGTAACTCAGGAAAACACACTTAAAAGACCTAGGATCCAATTTACCACGCGTGAGTGAATGATTACGGACAAAATAAACAAATCCAAAGGACTTAGGGGGGAATGTAGAACCCAGAAGAGGTGGATTGAAACAAAACCTAAAGAGGTATTTGTTTTTGAAGGACTTGAGTGGAAAGACAATTAATCAAATATGCTACAGTGAGAACCGTTTTCCCCCCAATATGAGCAAGGGACATGCATTTCAATGGATAGACAACGGACCACATCAATGAGATGGCGATTTTTCCATTCTGCAACACCATTTTGTTAAGGGGTATTAGTGTATGAAGTTTGGTGAATAATACCATGAGTAGCAAAATAACTAGTAAGACCAGAGTCAATATATTCCCCCACATCATCAGAATATAGAATTTTTACAACCGCCCCAAACTGAGTGCAAATCATTCTATGAAAGTTTTGAAACACAGAAAACACCTCACTCTTGTCTTTCATCAGATGTGCCTAAGTGGCCCTAGAACAGTCATTTATGAAAGTAACAAACCATTTTTTTACCCTTTAATGACACAAAATGTGAGGGACCCCATACATCAGAATGAATCAAAGAAAATGGAACTGAACTATTATTAATAGGAGCAGAAGAAGCAAAAGAAGCTGTGTTGTTTTCCACGTTGACGTGACTCACTAAAAATCAAACACATTATTTTTCTCAAAAACAGAAGAAAAAGATGCTTAAGTAGTAAAAATGAGGGATGTCTTAAGCGACGATACCACAGCCAAAGGTCTTCCTTGGTGGATGGTAACTAAATAGATGAATGAGCCAGCTTGTCAGTCTGATCTAGAATGTTGAGACCATGGTCCTCTCTACCACTACCAATCCTCTTTCTCATGATAAGGTCCTAAAACAGACAATGCTCAGGAAAAAAATGTCACGCTACAATTCAAATCACAAGTAATACGACTCAAAAATAAAAGATTAACACTAAAATTGAGAACATGGAATACAGAGGATAAAGGAAGGGAAGAGGTGACATGAATTAAACCTTTCCCTGACACAAATGAAATAGTACTGTTAGCAATACGCACTTTTTCCTGACTTGAGGAGGCTGTACACTCTGAGAACAAATTAGAGGAACCAGACATATGATCGGAAGCACCCAAATCAATAATCCAGAGAATAGTCTTATAAGATAGCAATGCACTTGTAAAGGAAGCCAAGTTACGTGAGTTGGCAAAGGAAGAAGATGATGCACCGAAGACAGTAGTAGAGGTTCGACGGTCTAACAAGTGGCGAAAAGCAATCTCAAACTCTAAGGCAGACAACCCAGAAACATTAGCAGCCGGTGAGACAACAGGAGCTGAAAATGGTGCTCAACCGTTTTAGAAAGATGTGCCCGAGCATTGGTACCTCGGCCTCTAGACTAGCTCGACCTACCCCCTCGAGAACCAAGACGATCTCCTCAGCCACCGGATGGAGTCTCATGCAGCTTCCAGCAAGTCTCACGTGTGTGTCAAGGTCTACAGCAGTAGTCACAAAAAAGAGTATCCTTCTCAGAGAAAGGATGAGAACCACAAGTCATACGCTCTTCATCTCGGGGGCTGCAAAAACCAAGGTAAAATGATCAGTAGTGGGAGAAGCAAGCATCGCAGAACGACGATTCTCCTCATTCTGCACATAAGGAAAGGCTTCCTGGAGAGAATGAAGCATATCCATACCAAGTACTCTACTCCGAACTAGATCATACTCCACACTTAGGGCTTCTAAGAACTTGAAGACTCTCACCTGTTCTACAAACTTCCGGTAACCAGCAGAATCCATGGAGTAGACAGGTTTATAATCCTGAAGATGATAAAGTCGCTTCCACCCATTGCTAAGGAAGGTAAAATACTGGAGAACAGTCATCTCACCCTGTATCGACCTTTCAATGGAGCAACGTAACTCAAAAGTTTATGAGAAGTTCCCTTTGCGGGAGTAAGCGGTAGCTACAACCTCCCGGATATCCTCTGTAGTGTCCATAGCCAAATAGCCCTCTCCAATCTCAAGGACCATAGAGTGGATCAACCAACCCATGATAAGAGAATTGGTGATTTTCCACTGATCATAACTAGGGTCCATAGTGCTAGGTGCCTGTATTCTGCCCTCAACATACCCCATCTTCCCTATGCTCTTCAAAAAAATAGTCAAACTCTGCGACCACGCTAAATAATTCTGACCATTGAATAGAGAAGATTGCCGACTAACCCTAATAGGCTGTCGGGGAGCCTAGGAGGATTGTTCTGGAGTGCTGAGGGCCTAGGCAAGGGGTTTCAGAGGGCTGGGTAGGGCTGGTATTGACTGTCGGTGTGAGAGGGTATGGAAGGATTAGGTTATGGCTGGGTATGGCTGGATTAGGGTTGCTAGGGTAGAGGTGACTTTAATACCATGAAGATTTTAGAGAAGGGAAAGAGTTAGGGATGAGTGAAACTTCATCCTTTTTTATATTCAAAATAAAGCATAATTACATGAGTGCCATAAGGCATGAATTATGGGCCAGCTCATTACATCAAATCAAAATAAAATATGTGAATATAATTTCATATTCTAACAATATAATTTCCTATTCTAACAATAACAACTAGAGCATCATCACTGGCAATGGAAGAATATATTGCAAATCCACTTTTTTAAGCATAAAGAATGAGGATGGTGACATAGTATGTGTTGATGAGTATCTCCATTTAGCTTGCCAACACAGCATATCGACTAGCATTATCCAGTATATAGCTGTCAAATGAACATCTTGCAATTCGATAATGGGAACCAAAGTTCAAATTAAGGTTGGGCTTGGTAATTGTTTTTTCAGCAGCTTTGTTGATTTTTTTGTCTTTAAACTTTTTTTTTTATATTTCAAAAAAACTTTTCAATTTTAGGTTCGACTAGGCGACAGAGATTTGAAAAGTAAAAAATAAAAATAAACTTTTGGACAATATGTCCACTAAAAATAAAACAAAAAACGCATTTTAAAAGTTGATTTTTTGGAATTTTTTTCAAAAAACAAAATTTGGTTTTAGATCCTTCTAGAATAAAAGGACCTGAAAAGTAAAAAAAATAAAAAATAAAAAAATTGACACAAATTTGAAAATAATTCATTAAAGATTAAAAAAAAAATTGAAAAAAAGAATGTGGCTTATTTTGTTGTTGCCAAATAGAGGGTAAGTTCCAAAAATTTGCTTACTTAACACCAAGTCATGGACCATCTCACCTTCGACTCTTCTTAAGTTCGCATGATGCATAGTTTGTGGGTGATCTCGTGCATCTCTCAGTTAGAGTCAGTTGGGACACTCTAGCAACTACCCAATCAACAACGAAAAAACAATTAAATAAATAAATAAAAACTAAAGGGGAGAAAGGATTATGAGGTATAATAACCCATACCAACTCAATCTAATGTGGGTGATTTTGAAAACCTCACTTAGACCCTGAGAGAGCCATTTACAGAGCTTAAACTGCAGGTTGATCTAGGAAATTTTAAAAAATTTATATTAAAAAACTTAGTCTACTCTACGCCTCCACCATGGGTTAAATTAGGTAGACCAACATGACTCTAGAGTCTGTAATCAAAAACATTCCACAAGGTAGAAAATCCTTGTATGGGGTGAATTCTTGCAGCAAAGAGCTTGACTTCAGTCTTTTACTACTGGTCCAAAAAGAAAATAGAACTCAACTCCGCTATGATGTATCAACAAAATTATCTTTACTTGTCAACACAAAGAAAACGGAAAAATAATGGATCTACTGAATCATCCGAAGCATTTTGGAGTCTTGGACATGACATGAAAAGAATCATCCAAATATGTTTTCTGCAGCATTTGAAAGGGGAAAATATATATATATATATATATATGTGAATTGTTTTCTGCAACATTTGAAAGGGAAGAAAAAAATATGTGAAGTCATTTTTCTTTTCGTCCATATTTTCTGTTCATGATTTTCAATTGATCCATCATTCATCCATCCATTTTATAGCTTGCTTTTAATCATTTAAAATTCCATGCATGAATTTCATATAAAAGCGAAATTTGATAGGTAAAAGAGAAAATTAATCAAGTTGCGTTATCTTTTTGTTATAGAAAATTATCGTACAAAATTAAAGTTGTAATATCATGTTAGGACTATGGGACACCAGAAATCAATTCCACACAATAACACAAGAATATTTATGTGGTTGTAGACGTCCCCGAATGTCCCGGAGGGAAATCCCGTTTTGTTCATATGGGCTTACTGCAGTTCAGGACTCAAATGTCACGGTCCTGTATCTAATCTCGTAAAGTGCAATGCAAGACCGATGAATCATCAAAGAGTCCAAATCCAACAA